ATCCATGTAACCACGTAAAATATGATGAAAATTTCTGTAAATCTTATTTCATCATATAAAAGAAAAGGTTCTACCAATCCCCAAAGGATCGGACACATTCCCTCCCAGGTTAATAAACGTTTCAGATCTTACCCAAATACATGCTACAGCCAATTCTTATTAACTAAACTAAAATTTATTAAAAAAAAAAAAGAGAGAGAGTGTATGTTTAAAAGATCAATATTCATACAGACATGAGTTCAATCCATTGAGGTTGTAGTTGCAAAGAGTTCAAACTTCCCCTGACAAAGCTTAAGCAGATCTGAGATGATAGAATCAAGACCCAAAGATCTTTTATACAATTTCATGTCTGTTTGACAAGTTGGAGTTCCTCGGGGAACAAAAAAGGTAATCACCATGACTTTGAAGGAGGTCCATCACTAGTACTTAGCTACATGAATTAACATAAGGCCATTTGCTTGTTCCTCCACCATTCACAGTACATTTCAAAGAGAAATGAATAAGAAGATACCCCGGGTTTACAATTAATTTAAATGATATCAGAATACAGCATAGACCAGGACTGTTGATTATATTGTTGACCCTACTCATACATATGTAAATACACAAAAACACAAACATGTCTTTTGAGGGTTATTTATTTTGCAGGATGCTTAACTATGTTTCTAGCCATGCCTCACATAATATTGGTAAGTTTGGTAACCACTGAAAGAGGTCCACTGCTGGCACTTTAAACACTGCTCAACATTATAGAAATCTCAGCTTTAATGGGCTAAAAAAGCATGGATTTGTTGTGTAAGATGTTGGAATAGAAAAAAAAACAATGGAAGTATCGCTGTGATTTGCCTCTCTACATTTATTTCTACATGTGTAAAATGCCCACCTGTTCAATCATACAGGTACCCTTGATAATTTTGTTACAGCTGGTTTGCAGTAGGATTAGATGCTCTTTGCATTAGGTTGTAGATGTAGATATGGTTTCTGTAGTGATGGGGCAGACTGCAGAGATCTATTGGCTGCTGGCTTTGTAAATTTCATTCAGTTTGGTCCAATAGCAGAAGGAGAGAGACTGGTACAGCCTGGACCTCTCTCCCTCTTCAATCTCTCTTTTTCTTGCAGATCAGTCTCTCTCCCTGTCTCTGTGTCTCTGCATAGGCAATCAGAGCTCTTACTCACAAACCCAACTCTCCTTCTTGCACTGATTTTGTAATGAATTTTCTTCCTGAATGTAGGTCGTTTACAACAGTAAGCGCCAGTTTCCTCCAAATCCAGCGTTGTTGTTGCTTTTTTATTTTTATTTTTTGTGGTCGTTGCATTCCTTTGGACAAGAAAATCGCGTTGGATTCCAAAAAACAGAGGGGAGCCTTGTTTGAATAATTCCTGTTGTCTGATATCCTGTCAGGATTCCCTGGAAGAATTTGGCTGAGTAAAAAAGGACCTCCGTGCAGCTGCAGCTATCGCACTGTTAAGGTAGGTATAGTAGATTTAAGGTTTGTGTGTTCATGTTCATTTTTGCGGGGGTTGCAGTGAGTTCTGAGGCAGAGGGTGATCAGTTTGCTGCAGTCGTTTATGCTTTTACTTTCCCCGTCATTTTTAAGGCGATACTTTTTCTGTCCTCTTCCCCGTCATAGGCTATCTTCATGTCATCTGTGCAGCTACAGATCTAGAATTTGTCTTCCCCTGGACCATCATTTGTTTGGAGGCATTTTGGTGCAATCAGCTATTTGAAAAGGCTCTGGGGTTCTGTGTGAGATGTTTACAAAGTAGCTCTGCCTAACAGACAAATAAACAGAAGTGTGGGGGGGGGGCGGGGGGGAGCGAGATATCTGCAGTACAGGGCGACAGAAAGAGCAAAGCTACAGTTTTCTGCAAACGAGATCAGAGGCAGTGGAAGGAGCAGGACCTCCTGTGTGCACCGGTGGTGTGGAGGGAATTACAGAACCGGCACGTAGGGCGGGCTTGGCTTCACCTCGCTGTGTCCCCCTCCTTTAAAAAAAAAACACAGCTTGGCTCTTCTTCTATGGAGCGATTCACCCTCTTTTCTTCTTCAGCGGCTGGGCTCGGGTAAAATGCCTGCTTTTGTGATGCATGGGTTCTCACACGTGATGGACTGGAGCCCGGCACTCGCGAGGGACGGTGTCTGGCTGGCTGGGTATGCGAAGGGAGAAGCGACTGGGGGGGGAGACAAGTGTTAAGAGAGAAATAAAGGGGGACAGAGGAAGGTTCCGGAGGGGGAAGAAGGAGGGGGATCACCCTCCCTGCAAAGCTGGGGCTGGGGGCGGGGGGGGCGGACTGGCGCGGCTAGTGGGCAGTGCTGGGGTTGTGTGTGTGTGTGTGGGTGGGGGGGGGGGGGGGGGAGCGAGATATCTGCAGTACAGGGCGACAGAAAGAGCAAAGCTACAGTTTTCTGCAAACGAGATCAGAGGCAGTGGAAGGAGCGCGAGCTGCTAAGGGCACCGGCGGAGGGGCGGAT